TACCTTTTAGGCATTGTCATTCACTTGGATAGCTACTTTGAAGTGTTTGATTAGAATTTCCGACCCCTTATGAGATAAGTGAAAACCGTCCTTAGAAGGAACAGCTGCTTCTGTGACAATGTGATCTCTGGGTGGGGAATGGAAAACGTGTTGTATAGCTGTGAAAAATGTGTTGTCAGACGGTGTCTTGCAAAAGAGTCCATTGATTTACTAACTTCATCAAGTGCTTTCTTGCAGGAGTTCACCTGCAGCCAGCGTCGGTATATGACCCTCTGGAGGATTGATGACATTTGGCGGTGTGGCAGAGCTAGACGCAAGTGAATAGCTAAAACATGACTTCATAGCCTCACGACACAGTCTCCCTTAAAAAGCGGTCAATATCATTTAATTGAGTTGGATTATCGACCATTGTGTTTGCAGGAGACTCTGCAGACAGGTGTATCTTAACACTAGAGAAAATGTGTTTGTGAAGAATTTATTGTCTTTTGATGACTATCAGTGAGTATTATAAGTTTGCAATGAATTGGATTAAAAACAGAACAAAGGGCTTTTTCGCATTCTTTTGTACATTTGAACAACTAAAGCATCATCACATCAAGTCAATTTCCTACATACTACCTTTCTTTCAATTTATCTGCAAAGTTTCAACCACATAGACCATACATTGGGAGATACAAGGCATTAAATAGTGCACCTTTAATGTCACGTGACTTGTCTCCTTATGATATCATTATCACATGAGGTCAATTTTCCCGTAAGGCATTCCCTTTTCAAGATATCTGCAAGATTTGAACCCGATCAGACATGTACTTCAGGAGATATTGGGCCTTCCAGGAGTACACCTTTAATGTCAGGTACTTGTCACTTGATGACGTCATCATCACTTGATGTCAATATACCTCTAAAGCACTCCGTTTCCAAGATATCAGCAAGATTTGAACCCAATTGGATATACACTTCAGGAGATATAGTACTTTAAATTTTGAACACTTAATGTCAAATGACTTGTCTCCTGATGACGTCATTATCACATGAGGTCAATATTCCTCTAAAGCACTCGATCGGACATGTACTTCAGGAGATATAGGACTTTAAAGAGTTCTCCTTTAATGTCACGTGACTTTTTCCTGATGACGGCATCATGACATGAGGTCAATAATTTTCCAAAGCATTTGCTTTTGAATATGTCTGCAAGATTTAAATCCGATCAGACATCTACTTCAGGAGATATAGGTCCCTTGGTAATCAGTTGCAGTTTTATATATTCTCCGTTGACATTGGTCTGCAAACTCCACCCTTATTTGCACAATCATAAATATGCATTGCAACTCTAAAAAGTATAATTCTTTGATATGTCTAACGTAATTTTAATTGAATGCACATTTCAGATTTCCTGTGTACAAAATTTAAGAAAGACAATGCAGGTCCACTATCGATGATATCTGTTGCACTTTCCTGGACATTTTGGCACAAAAACTGAATTTCACTTTTTGTAACTGTGACTAAAGGAGATATAGTACTTTAAATTATGCACCCTGTATATCATACAGTACACTCCTAATCTTGTTCCCCGACCAGGAATCTCCGACTACTCTAGCGATTCAAGGCTCAGGTATCGGCTACGTGTACAGGAGGATCACGTGACCCAAAAGTCAATTCTTGACTTTTTCCTGGAGTGTCCGAAACATTACGAACTTGTTGCCGTCATTTTTCGGACAGCACCGTTTTTGCCGGGTATTTCCCGGCACGTACAGGAAAAAAGCAAGGTTGTGTCACAGATATAACGCGTCTGTGGGTTGTATGGTGGCTTGTGCCGCTAATCGCACGACTTTCGGTACGTGCTTGTTCCATCCCATTTATGAACAATGTTGGGTGTTCAACGTGGAGTTGTGGATTGACCCTTGACACGTTATGTCATGCTCTATTTTTTTAACTGTAGCCGATACCTGACCTAAGATTTTTGTCAAGAGTCGTTGGGGAATCTTTGGGCAGGGAACCAGACTAAGTACACTCCGAAACCACTCCCCCATTCATTGGCAGACGCCATGCGAGATCTGTAAGTTATACTTCATCACCCGTCATCTACCCATTGGTGGCAGCACCAATACTGAATGAAGGTGTCCAAAATTCATGAGTTGACAATCCCGCCTTGCACAAAGCTTTTTACTGCTTCACTGCAATACTGCTTTGAACTGATACCGTAGGGGTTGGCCGCGTGCCTGGCAAAATAAAGGCCTTGAGGGTGCTGGTCAAATGGTTATTAAATCTTTTTACTGTCTGTACAGGGCATGGACCCGCTAAGCCTGCTGGGATACGAACGGTCGACGACTATATACCCTGCACAATATGCGGCAAAGGGAGATCCCCTGTGGGATTCACAAACTGTATGCCCTGAGACTATTGTGCCTACTGCACCCCCCCTCAGAAATCTGAAAGGAATTCCAAAGATTCCATCAACACAGAGACAGAAACAATAGAGGGGGTCCCCCTTTGCCGCATATCCTGCATTATACAGTCGGCCACCCTTATTAATCGGTTTTGGAATAACAAATAAAACTAACAGTGCAGGGCCAGCTGCACAGTCAGTGTCTGTAATGGCCAACACTCGGGCTGCTGCCCCTCCCCGTTGACTGTGACAGTGAATTCCCCTACCCTAAAAAATCATTTGAAGCAAGATATGGGACGGAGAGAATCCCCCCCCCGCCTTTGTGTTGTCATTGTTTGATCGGAATCTCAGGAATTCTTTACAGTCTTCTGGGGGATGTGTTAGGTAAAAATAGTCTAGAGTGTGTATAGGGATAGGACAGGTAAGGGGGGTACCCCTCCATCTCATATCTTGCCTGGTATATAAAGAATCCAAAATACTCCAAAAGGAACGCAGCTCGGATCAGCCTTGCTTCAAAAGCAGTGGAACACACTGCATGCAAAGAGGGCACAATTTGTTTAAAGACATTCCAGGTGATCTGGCGCCTGGTATCTGTTGCCCTCTTCTTTCTCCTGTGACCTTCTAACATTTGTTTGACTGAAAAAAATGTTGTGTCTTGTCATTCCAATTATTACAGGGCAAGTGCTGACACATGTAAGCCCGCAAAGGTCAGATCCAAGCCCTTTACGATAGAGCTGAATTTAATTTTATTGTGTGCCGTGTTGTGGCCGGCCAGGCTTGGTCTAGTTTAGACAAAACTCTTTAAATGTGTTAACTGCTCGCCCGTATGCCTCTACGGTTCCTGGTGCCAATGATCCCGACAACAGCCTGTGGGTTTCTAGAACTACATCTCCCATCTATAGCCATTCAGGTAAAGGGAATGGCTCTGTTTCGGCTATACCCAGCAAGAAATGAGACCGAGGGGTACCCCCCAACATGTCTAATCCCTATACATATTCCAGACTATTGTTACTTAACACATCCCCCCCAAGATGTCTGAAAGGAATTCCCCAGATTCCTGCGAGACAATGACCAACACAAAGCAGGGGGGTTCTCTACGTCTCATACCTTGCTCCATATGGTTTTGGCATGTGGTGCAGTAAGTTTGAACCTGTGTAATTACAAACGAGACAATGAATCCTTAAGCCTTGTCACAATAGTCCGCCAACACAGCCCACCCACCACGTACTGTCCATTGTCCGGGGATTATCTGGAATCAGAGCTAACTTCTAGACTTTCCCGTGGGCCTGTCAGTATTTTCCATGGCATCTCACTACCTATGATTCATCAACTATTTTTACCATCCTATTTCACAAGAAAGGTCAAATTTTACCGGACTTGTTTATCCCATGATATGCCTTATTCATGTTTTATCTCCTACACAAGGTCATTTTGTATCACACTTTCTGACCCTTATCTATACCTACCCCTTACAAGAGGTCCTACTGTGCCATACATTGTAGGTTACACCTGATTCCTTTTCATATTTTTGAGATAATATTTATTATGTTTAGGCATATTGATGGTACCTTTTGCTGTTTCTAGGCCAGAGGTCAAACTGTACCAAATAGTGCCCCAACACATACACTACTACCAATAAATTTGATGTTTTTATGAGATCAGGCCAAGCACAACCAAGTGCGTGAATATACAATTTCCTATACCCCAGTACACAAAGTTTTAAGGATGCAGATTACCGGCAAAAATTGATGTTGTAATGAGATCAGGCCAAGCACCAACAAATGCGTGAATATTCAATTTCCTATACCTCAGTACACACAGTTTTAAGGATGCAGATTACCGGCAAAAATTGCGGTGGTGATCATAGGGTACGAGAGGGTTTCGTGGTTGTGAACAGATGGTGCGTAGCGAGCACTTGCCTAGCTCTGGCTATGGACATACCGAGCATGCCAAGAAGCGGTAATCGGCTGGATAGCCCAGGCAATTCAAACTGTGTCCTTCCTCCGTGGAAAAACTGACCAGACTCACTTTTTTGCAAGAAAAGCTTATATTTGACCCGATGATTCTTCAGCAACGCAAATTATGCCATGAAGTTTATTTTCTGGGAAAATCGTGCAATGCTCAGTTTATTTCATTCTCTTTAAATCTCACCTTTCAGCTAAAGATAATGTCATCAAATATGATTTGTAAGTTTTCATCCGCCTACGAAAACACAAAGATACACTCATTTTGTAAGTGAGATGTTCATTTTGACACGATATTTTTTTGCATACAGACAATTACCCCTTTAAGGACACATTGGATTTAGTTTGAGTTCAGACTCAAACGAAGGCTCCACCATGTTTATGCTCCTCCCCGCCCCCTTTCTAGTACTGCTTTATAGTTGGACGTTCGTCTCCACTATCCTCTACATAGGCTTTTATTTTCCTTTAAATGCTTAAAGGCTAATAAACTCTAAGATCGATGTCATTTTTCAGTGAGTAGTGATTTCATGCATTTGTTGAATTTTCTCAAATGTAAACAAGTCTTACAAGTCTTAGTCTTAGAAGACTGACAGTTCCAGCCCCCTATGACATAACAATTGTAACGAATAAACAATGCGCTGTCTACATACCTTCTGCTTGCTGAAGAGTTGCTAAGGGTTTTGCGCAAACAGTGCTGTTAAGACTACATTCGCCCACTTCTTCAGAGCAACGCACTGAGTTAATGTTTCTGCAGAAGGCTGACCAGAGGAATAGGAACAGTGTTCCATTTTATTTTGTTTAAGCTACGATTCTAAAAAAGAGCTTCATTTGGGTTAAACTTGGCCTCCAAATGTATGATTGCCTTATACTTTTAAATTATTCAGGATTCCCCTGTCCTGAAGTTTGAAATGGGGTGCCATTTTTGGAGCTTGAAAGCATAAGTAAAAGTGTAAAATATAAGTTCCTGTCGAATAACTACCTTTCTACTTGGATGAATAATTACATGATTTTTCATCATCCAGGTACTACGCCAAAACAGCTTTCGCTTTATAACTGACAATTGGAATTCAGCCAAATCGAGGTTTACTCGTACTCCTAAAAATATGCTTAGAGTGCATTTTCAAAGACACAGATGAAACTTCCTCTTTTGTTTTACCTTGCGTTTCACCTTAGAGTATTGGATTTCGAAAATTATTAAGGTAATTTGATAATGAAGTTCAAATACTCAAATAATAGTCACTACAAAATGGTCAGGTGGGCCCCTGGGGTGTTAAACTAAAGGCAAGTAGGCCATATACTTACGTATTCCGCAGGAGCCAGGCTTAATAGTACCATCACAGCAGACATGCCTGTAAACGAAAAGATACGGAAACTCGGTAAGTCTGTAAAAAATGTGACAAGAGCTGAACCGCGCGTGACTTTCCAAGACTAGAATGACCCACCAAATGCCACCATTTCTGCACCCTTTTGATCGTTGTCAGCTTCCTACAATGACTACAATTCTTTTTCTTTTTTCTTTGTTTTTAACTCATTGACTCTCACTGACTTTTTTTTCATTTAACGTTTAGTCAATTGAACGACTTTAAATTTGCAGCAAATTGATCTGATGTGATTCTGGAGGAGTCCGGTGACAAGTCACGTGACATTAAGGGGGCACTCTTTCAAGCACTACATATCGTAAAGTACACGTTTCAACACATTGGTTGAAAATTTGCGGAGAGCCAGAAAGGGAAGAGTTCCAGATGGAAATTGATTTCGTCTGTTGGTGGTATTATTATATGACAAGTCATGTGACATATATATGATATGGACTTTATATATTCCACTGACTGATGCGTTTTCTGTATCGTCGATGTGCACTGGTTTCAGATAAATGGAACCAGGGCCGCAGCAGCTGTGCTTGTCCACAAAAACCCTCGTTTAAAAAAAAAAATTCTTGTAACTGGTATCACTTCCACTCGCGATGACGTCATCAGTCTAAGAGTCAGATATGTCATCTTTAAGTAAATATTATTATTTTCAAGCAATACTGGGAAACTTTACAAAGTACAAGGCAAGCTCTCAACTGTGACAATGACATCACGTGACAAGTCATGTTAAATTATCTTCTGAAGTGGACATCCAACTACATCGGTTGACATTCATTGTAAATTAATTAAAGTGACGTCCAGAGTAGTAGATTGTTAATGTTTACTTTTTCGTAGTTTATTGATGCCAGGTTTATTCATCACAATTGCCAACATTTTTCTCAGCCCATTCATTTTGTACACGTTATTGAGGCACTATTTGGTATTTTAGTAATCGTTGATTGTCGTCAAAGTTACAGCTAGCACTAACTATAAAACGAAGATAATACTGAAATTTTTAAGTCATGATCACGGCATAAAGCATTATTATTTAATTTTGAATATTTAAATATTCCGTTAAATTTATAAAAATTCATATAAAATTAACCGTGGCCTCCTGCAACATTCTGTTTGCAGCAAGTGGCAGGTGGCAGTGGCAGGCCAATATCTGCCTACAACACAGACGGAGCACAGTGCGTACGGTATATACTCGTGGTGCTGAGAGCAGGTCGCATTGTATGGAATGCCAACAAGTACAAATGTATTTGTGCCTTTTTCACGAGAACTTTAAAAAAAAAAAAGCAGGTTCATTTGATCCAGGATAGCCTAAAACATGGGTTTTTTTTCTTGGGGACTCCACAAACTAAACAATTTCATTACAGACGAAGAAAAACAAAAAGCACCAATTTACACTGAATTGCCATTCAAGTTACCAATTAGTATTAAAAAAGATCCTGAAGGTCCAGAAATTAATTTTTATCAATTTATTGATGCCGTCAACTGCAGTCCCTTGGAATGTCCGTAGTATTAATTTAAAGTGTTTTATATCCTTATAAACAATTTGCTTTATAAAAATGCCTCCTTCTGCAGATAAAAGTGCCTGTGGTATAATGTGATAAACTAGCCTCAGTTAAACTCTCTCCATCTCTCTAAATGAGAATAATATACAAGGAAAAAGCTCTTTTCATTATCGAATTAAAAATCCGTAACTTTTTCAGGGGAATGGCAAGACTCTGAGCCCGAGCCCGATTAAAGTAGAGAACTTAGGTGCTTTTTTTTGGTTTTATTGCTAAAATGTTTGACAGATTAATAAGGGTAATTTTCAATCAGTTCTGTTGACATTTGTGTTTACTTAATATGCAGGGTGAAAGGTGATTAACTAGGAAAATATCTATGCCTTTGCTAAATGCAGGAGTGTGAGCGCACTCCATGAGTCTTTTTGCATCTTCGATACAATGGCGCAAAAAATGTTGGAACGGTCTATCTGAGTCAATCTCCCCCAGGAAATCATCCCACATTCTGATACACTAATACTGAAACACCCGATACTAATCCGCCGTGGCGAAATACTATTAAATCCGCCCGGGCAAAATATTAATCCGCCCAGGCTAAATGTTAATCCGCCCGGGCGAAATACTAATCCGCCCCGGCGAAATAACAGGTACAAAGTTTTTTTCAATCATGTTCTGTATACGCTTTCGCACGAAAGGTATTTTTGAGTTTGCAAATATAGTATGGGGGATTTTGTCGTCGGTGCTTCATCTGTGTGAAGAAGTAAGCCCCCTATGCACTTCATGCAATTGATATCAGTGTTTTAGCTATCATCTAATGAACAATTCACAATTCACGCTTAAATCTGTTACGGCTGATTTTTTACCGAATTTTGAATAATAAGAGAACTTTTTGTCATAACTTCCAATCTGATGACGTCATCGGCCCCAAATTTCACACGAGTAAATGGGTAAAGATCATTGTCTACATCAATTTTCAGGCGATTCGGGCAAACTTTGCCAAAGGTATCTATTCAAAATTCATTTTTTTGGATTCTTAGCCTGTTGCTAGAGGGTGCTCGACAATTACGTGGCGTCATCTGTCAATGATTTGAAGAATGCTATATCCCAACAGACTAACAACGTTGAAGACACTTTGAAACCTCTTACCCTTTTTAAACAATAAGCCTACTTTCGGTATTCTGATTTGATCCACACAAGATAAATTGAAGACCGAATTTTACTCTGGCATTTGCCCAAACAGAATACTGCGGGAGGCAACGGTTGATTTTTATATGGATTTTTACATTAACAAAGTATTTGAATATTTAAAATGAAATAATAAAGCACTAGATGACGTCACCATGCCGTAATTATTTGAGTATTATATGCATCCAGGTCTTTCATTTGTGTAACTTTGAGGACCACTGGAGATGGCTAAGTTACCAAAATTGGGCCTTGAAAACGTGTACGGAGTCAATGGCTGAAATAAATATTAAAAATTCAATACAAACATCTCTTGAGGACGTCATCATGACGTCATGGTTCTATAAACATCTTTAAACTTAGGTTCTTTGTTGATGTAAGTTTGATGAAAATCCGAAGTTGCAAAAGGACCAAAGTATATGGTGGAAAAACGTGCACAAAAGAAATGGGCTTTTGGTCAGAAGAGGAAGAAGACGAAGGAAGAAACTACAGGTTATGTCTTTCTTAAAGACAGAAAAAAGGGCTTTTTTTGCATTTTGTTTCTTAATAAAAGGGCATTCCTTCTTTTTGGATACTACCACACTTGGATTTCTCACTTCTTACTCAAGCATCTATCCAAGAGTTCCCAAGGTTTTCAATGATATTTTCGGTGACCTCAATATGACATAATATTCAAACCCTTTTGGGGGTTAAGAGTTATGATGAATTAAGTTTTGCACCCGTTACATCATGTCACATTGTTTATAACATTTCACATTTCAACTATCTACAAAATTTCAGCCTAATCAGACATGTAGTCCACTATAAATAGGGCTGTAAAGAATGTGCCTTAATGTCACGTGACTAGTCACATGATGAAGTCCTCACCACATCAAGTCGTTTGTCTCAAGCTTTTCCCTTTCAAGATATCTGCAAGGTTTGAACCCAATCGGACATGTACTTCACGAAATAGACTGCTTTAACGGGTGCGTCTTTAATGTCACGTGACTTGGCACATGATGACGTCATCAACACTTCAGGTCAATGTTCTTCTAAAGCACTCCCCTTTTAAGATAAATGCAAGGTTTGAACCCAATTGGAAAGGTTCTTCACAAGATATATTGCTTTAAAGATTGCACCTTTAAAGTTGTTTGACTTGTCACGCGATTACGTTATCACCACATCACCTCATCAATGTGCATCTAAAGCCCTCCCCTTTCAAGATATCTGCATGATTCAAACCTAATCTGCTATATTCTTCACGGTACAAAGTGCTACGAAGACTGCACCTTTAATGTCACGTGATTTACTACTTTATGACGTCATCATCACATCAGGTCAGTATTTGTTTAAAGCACTCCCTTTTCAAGATATCTACTAAGTTTGCACCCAATTGGACATGCACTTCACTAGATATGTTTTAAAGAGTGCACCTTTAATGTCAGGTTATTTGTCATCTCTTGATGTCATTACCATGCATTACTATGCATTACTATTACATGCATGCAAGGTAAATGATCGTCTATAACAGATCCCTCCATAGCTGCCTACAAGATTGCAACCAATTGGATATGTACAATGAAAGTGGATGGTGTGTTCACCGAGACAAAAATAAGGAATTGGTTTTATTTGATTTAAATGATTTTGTTGTTTTGGCGTTCCATACAAATCAACGCCCCGTGTTGCATTGATATAATGGCAATTTGGCGTTCCTTACAGAATCTTACTTCAGTGCCAATTGCTTCTTCCACAGCCGAGAGTATGCCCTCACGCACTATGCGACTTCTTTGTTATCGGCAGGCATAACGTGCTCACCCGCACAAAAGCAAAACGCAGTGTAAAGCACAAATTGGCCGTGATTTCATCTATCATCTAATGGGCATTTCAATTTATACCTCTCACGGTTGATTTTTACCGAATTTTGAAAGGACTGAATAAAAAACCTTTTTATAATAACTTCCAGTCCAATGACGTAATCAGCCCCAATTTTCACACTTGTTAAATGGGTAAATATTATCATATCAACCAATTTTCAGGTGATTCCAACGACATCAGTGACATCTATTCAAAATGCATTTTTCAGAATGTTCAAGTTGTCGGTAGAGGGCGCTAAAACAATTGCGTCACATCATTAGTAGATGTTTTGAAGAGTGCAATACCCCAAGAGACTAATACCGTTGAAAACAAGTTAATATCTATTACCACTTTGAAACAGTAAGGCCACGTTTTAAATATTTAAATATTTGACATATTTAAATATTCAATATTTAATACAAAATCAGTTAATAACGTCATTATGGCGTAATTATTTTAATAATATCTTTGCCT